TTTTTCCTCTTTTGTTTTTAGTTCTTTCTAAATGTAATTATATATATACAGGTTGCATAATAAAGTTAAAATTAAGAAAAATGCTCATGGAATGCTATAGAGTTATTAAAAAAATGTCAGTTTCGGTGTCAAACGATTTAGAATGACTGCAAAACATAAATTTAGTGAGTTGGATTTTGTGGCGTAAACATAAACTTCTTTGGGTATTCCACAAGAATTTAATTAAAGGGCTAAACAAAGCATTGTTATGGCCACGATGTCTTATTTTTCTTTCTTGGTACTAAAAAGTAACAAAATGTCTATCTATTTGCTTGGCTGTATAAGACCATGCGTATTTTACATATAAACAAATCTAGAAAGAATGTTATCATAGGATGCGCACGGTTTTATGTGTAAAATACGCCTGATCCGTACAGCAAATAGATACACTAATTCACAAGTGTTTGTTACCGAGAAAGAAGGATAACAAAGCGTTACCATAACAACGCTATGTTATCGTCTATGTTACCACAGAATTAACCTCTAAATATCATATCTTAGGGCCTCCTAAGAACTTCACCAACCTTTTTAATTTTTTCTTACTATTGTTTCCAAGCCCTGCCCTTCACTTCTGACAAAATCGTGACACCGTTCAGCGTTCATTACTCGAAAATGATCTCGCTTTTATAATTTATCCATAAAATTGATATTTCTCACAGGAGAGGTATATAAAATGCACTCGGTATGCATCCGTGAATGCACCTCGTCCATGTTGCAACATATTGCTCGATCTGGTAAATAGATCACGGAGATCTCGAATACATTCTCTTTTTTCGTTACAAGAAATCAAATATACTGTGGTACTCCAAAATATGAATTTATTTCTTTCCGTAACGACGCTCGTACGTCGAAGCAATTTTTTTTCCATATAAACATGATAGGAAAATCATTGTTACAACTGACCAATTTTTTCATATTGTCTCTATACATATATAGGCCTGTGAGATGTCGTTTAGTTATAAAAATTGTTCCAAGCTTTACATATGCCTGTACTGTTTTCTATCTATACGTCTAGGTATAACACTATATGCCTATGTATAGCTTGAAGCCTATTTTTATAACTAAACTACTTCCCATAGGTCTATAATATTTGCATGAGATTCTTCTATCCATAAGTATGTGATTCTTCTTGTCAGACACAAAATAAAAATTCTGGTTAATAAAAATAGGCAATACGACGACCCAGTACGTTTTGGCGCCCGGGTCGCGGCGCGATTATGCAAGAGAAAACTTTTACTTGCTCAAACCTTCTATATGAAAATTTTGCTCGTATGTGGAGGCAACGAATCACTTCTTTAGCAACTCGTATTGCAAATCGAGCAACTTACGAGTAAGTTAGTGTGGAATAATTTTTTTAAATATCTTCAGGCGTCCAAACCTACCGATCATTTTAGAGTACTTTGGTAACAGATTTATTCCAACATTTTTATTGATCTTTCAAATGATTTATGCAAAAAATATTAAATTTATCAGAAAATTTTTTTTTAGATGTTCAAAAATTCATTTTAAAGTTAGCACGTCAGCAGAGTTCCTTTTGTCAAAACTGTAGGGTTTCGTTTTTGATTTTCATGTATCTGACTTTCCTACTTTTGCAAATCGATAGTCGTTTTGCTCGTCAGTAGAGTTTCTTCTTTGTACAGTCCATGTCTCTGATCTGTACAGAGCCACGCTTATAAAAGTATTACTTTATAGGCTTATTTTATAAGCTTGTATTTTCATATTTTACATCTTCAGCTTTTTCAACAATTTCTGACCCAGTTTGCTCGTCAGTAGAGTTCTTTTTTCCTTCTCATTTATAAATAAGCTCGTCAGTAGAGTTCTTTTCTCTTGATTATTTATAATTTTTCTAGTCAGTAGAGTTCTTTTTTCTTTTTTATTTATAATTTTTCTAGTCAGTAGAGTTTTTTCCCTATTAATTCAGTTTGCTTGTCAGTAGAGTTCTTTTTTCTATCTTATTCATAATTTTACTAGTCAGTAGAGTTACTTTCCCTTTTTAATTTAGTTTGCTCGTCAGTAGAGTTCTTTTTCCATTCTTTTTTATAATTTTTTTAGTCAATAACAGTATTTTTCGTTATTAATTCAGTTGGCTCGCTAGTAGAGTTCTTTTCTCTATATTATTTTATTTTGCTCGTCAGTAGAGTTCTTTTCTCTCTATTATTTATAAGTTTACTTGTCAGTAAAGTTATTTTTCATTATTAATTCAGTTGGCTCGCTAGTAGAGTTCTTTTCTCTCGATTATTTATAATTTTTCTAGTCAGTAGAGTTATTTTTCATTATTAATTCAATTTGCTCGTCGGTAGAGTTCTTTTGTTCCACTCATTTTTTAGATTTGCTCACCAGTAGTTCCTTTCTCTGTATTATTTTTGTTTGCTCGTCAGTAGAGTTCCTTTTTCCATCTTATTACATTTTCGTATTTTTTTGCTTGTCAGTAGAGTGTATCCAACCTTCTTAATTAGTTTGCTCGTCGAGTTTCTTTTCTCAAAAAAACGTCTTTGATCTTTATGTATCTTACTTAATAGAATCAGTATGTTAGTCGGTAAAGTTCCTTTTCCCAGAGTCCATGTTTCTGATCCGTAAGGAGCCATAGTGCTTAAAACAAAACTTGCTTTAGTCGTCAGTAGAGTTTCTCATCTTAAAAGAATTACTTCAAATAATTAAATTTATTTGGTTCCTCAGTTTACTCGTCAATAGAGTACTTGAAATTTGAAAAAAAATTCGCCAATGACGACTATATAAATTTCAAAAAAAAAAAAAAATTAAAAATCATGTGATGAAACCCAAGAAGTCTTGCGTTTACTAGTTTTTTGCCAGAAGATCAGCTAAGTTTTTAGGACATGCACTGTGTATGTTCTAAAGTTGCATTTGTATAATTATGTCGTTTATTTACATATATCGGGAAGTGCATGTAACTTGCCTTGGGGCAAAATGCCACTTGCACCTGTTTTGTTTTTCCGACACGACTAATTGTCTGTCGTCTCTAATTTTGCAATCGAATTCCTTAGTCGGTTTCAAATTCCTCGCATTCACATATTAATATCATATTACTCGTTCATATTTGCATTTTGCCATTCCCGTTTGTTATCAGAGCATAAAACAAAGTTTAATGGATCGAATTTGATACGTTTGATTAAAATATCTGTCTGTCGCCATTAGCATATGAGTTATTTGTGTAACATCTTTGAGAAATTATAAAAGCCAATTACATTTTCAGATAGAAAACTTAACCTAGAAACTGCACACGTGTCAAAAAAAACGATGTTAAATAACAGGGTCTTTCTAACCCAGCTTCAGAACATACGAGTAACGTTGCAGTTTATGTATAAAACGCCTGAATTCACAGCAAATACATGACATTTCGACAGTATTCAGTACGATTCAGTAGCATAATGCATGTACCATGGCCTTGCCATAACATTTGTCTGTTATCCGACATCGGTCTCTTAAAATCTAGTATCGTGTCATACCCTAATCGATAACATCGCGGGTCCTTTCCTCCGGTGTTTGTTATCCCATGGGAAATACGTCGACGCAGCCTCCGTTCGGCGAACTCCGGGCGCCCGGAGTTTATCCAGTGACGTCACTAGCCATGCGCCAAAGGCACTTTCTGACGTCACAGAGCCAAAAGGAGGTGTAATGCATACTATGTTGTGCACAAAAATAGGAATAATATTAAAATTACCCAAACAACTGATATGCTAACGGCGACAAGCAGACACTTTTATCAAATGTATCGATTATGAAATATGAACGAGTAATATGATAATAAAACAAAACAGGTGCAAGTAGCATTTTGCCCTCAAGGCAAGTTACATGCACTTCCCGACATATGTAAATAAACGATTTAATTATACGAATGCAACCTTAGGACATACACAGTGCATGTTCTAATGACTTTGTCCGATCTTTTGGCTGAAACTAGTAAACACAAGTCATTCTTGTGTTTCATTGGATGGTTTTTAATATTTTTCAAAATTGATATAAGGTAAGGGGCCCAGTTTCTGACCTTTTTAGAGTGACGGTGGAGGTTAAACTATAATAATTAATATAAAACTTAACTTAATGAAGAAAATTATAATTTTATCTATTAGTTTAGGATTTTTAAAATAAAGTAATGTGCATAAAAAAATTATTTGAACTAAATTTATATTTTAAATTGACGTTTTAAAAATTGACATTAAGAGCTCCAATTTCTGACCCTCAGAATTCTTCGTGTGGCAGTTTCTGACCCTGACCGTAGCCCAATTTCTGACCCTCAAATTTAATCATGAGTAGGTTATGAAGTGCTTACTAATTTTAAATAAACTGAAATTATTATTAAAATAAATAAATTAAATATTCATTGTAAAAATATACAGTTTGTTAAAATTTGACGTATAAATAGTTCAAGTCTTGTTATAACATATTACACAAACAAAAAAATTAAAATTAATTATTTAAATTACTTGGACTTTTTATTTTAAGAGCTTTTTGTTTCTTTTTTTCTTCAAGTTTTTCTTTTTTAATTATTTTTTCTGCCTCCTTGATGGCTTTATTTTTGGACCTTTCAGCTATTTTCAATTCTTTTTCTTCTTCTAATTTTCATTTTATTAATTGTAATTGTATAATTGTATAATAATAAAAATATTAGTAAACTAAAACAGTCATAATTTAAGCGTTGATAAAACTGACATTTTTTTATTAATAATTTTATCACTTAAAAGATGTATTTACAAGATTTAAATACAATCTTTCATTTATACCAATGAATATTAAATGTAAATTTATCACTTTACTACAAAAAATAGTAAAAAAAATATAAGATAACAATAAATATTATTATTTTTACATTTAATGAACAAGTGACTAAAAACATGTGACAGTTAACCTAGCTTTTAGAAGGTTAGAATTGCAGGGTCAACAACTGTGACATACACTTAAAATTGAGCCTAGTTATTGACCCTCAAATTTCAGTAATAAAACTAAATTTAATATGTTTTATAAATATTTTAAAATAAATTTTAATTAATTATTGACTTATTTGTATATTTTTAGTTAGATTTTCGTACTTACATCATAATTAGTGCACGAACTCAATTGTCGTAGCTCCTTACATAAACTGTTTAGACTAAAGCTAAAAAATGGCTTCCACAGTCACTTTTGGTTTAAAAATTTTTCTTTATTTAGTTAATATTTTTTATATTTTTTTAATTGACATTAATGAGGCATAGAATAAATTACTGTCAATTAAGAAAAAATTTATTTTCACATTAAATGTATAGTTTTTTAATTAATTCCAAAAAAAGTTGAAAAGGTCAGAAACTGGGCAAGGGTCAATAACTGGGTCTTTTACCTTAGTCGTTATTTGCCATTTTTTTTTGAAATTTTAAGAACTTTACTGACGAGTAAACTGGGGGACCAAATAAATTTAATTACTTGAAGTAATTCTTTTAAGATTTTAAAACTCTACTGATGACAAAAGCAAGTTTTGTTTTGAGCACTATGGCTCTTTATGGATCAGAAACATGGACTCTGAGAAAAGAAACTTCATGGACTAACATACCGAGTCTATTAAATGAGATACATAAAGATCAAAGACGGTTTTTTAAAGATCAAAGGAACTCTACTGACGAGCAAACTTATTAAGAGGGTGGATGAATTTTACTGACAAGCAAGAAAAAACGAAAATGAAATAAGATAAAAGAGGGACTCTACTGACGAGCAAACCGAAACATTGAAGAAAAAGGAACTCTACTGACGAGCTAGCCGAAATAATGCAGAGAAAGGAACTCTACTGACGAGCAAAATTGTAAATAATTGAGAGAAAAGAACTCTACTGACGAGCAAACTGAATTAACAGGGGAAAATAATGTTACTGACTAGAAAAATTATAAATAATGCAGAAAACGGAACTATACTGATGAGCAAACCAACAAAAATGAGTGGAACAAAATACCTCTACTGACGAGCAAACTTATAAATAATCGACAGAAAAGAACTCTACTACCGAGCAAACTGAATCTATAAAGAAAAATAACCCTGCTGACTCGAAAAATTATAAATAAAAAGGAGAAAAGAACTCTACTCACGAACAAACTGAATTAATAACGAAAAATAACTCTACTGACTTCAAAAAGAAGGATAAAGAATTCTACTGACGAGCAAACTGAATTAACAGGAAAAAATAACTCTACTGACTAGCAAAATTATAAATAATCGAGAGAAAAGAACTCTACTGATAAGCAAACTAAATTAATAGGGAAAAATAACTCTACTGACTTCAAAAATTATAAATAATAAGGAAAAAAGAACTCTACTGACGAGCAAACTGAATTAATAAGAAAAACTAACTCTACTGACTAGAAATATTATAAATAAGATGGAGAAAAGAACTCTACTGATGAGCAGACTGAAATAATAATGGAAACTATCTCTACTGACGACCAAACTTAAAAATAAGATAGGGAAAAGAACTCTACTGACGAGCAAACTGATTTATAGAGATTTTATATTAGAGAATATAAAATTAGCGAATCGGGTTTTTTCCGTCTTCGTCGTGGCGAAGATCGTTAACGCGTTGACTTTGTACGAACAAGGTCGCGCGTTCGAATCCCCGCTCTGGCGATCTGACAATCGGGGATATAGATATAGAAATATAGATATATATATATATATACGGAAATATAGATATAGAAATATAGATATAGGATATAGAAATATAGGTATAGGATATAGACATAGAAATTTAGATATAGGATATAGAAATATAGGTATAAGATATAGACATAGATATAGAAATATATATATGAAATATAAATGATACTAATCTAAACCCCTTTCTCTGTTCCAGTGAGCAGCAAGCACCCCTTCGCCGGTGAGCATGTCACCCACAGACAGGCGCCTTCTGTGCGCCCTCAGCGACTCGGCGCCCTCGACGACGACGACGACGGTTTAGCGGTTGCTAAGATGCCCTCGTCGGCCGGAGCGAGCCGAGACGGTTCGCTTCGCCCGGGGGCGATTCCTCACGATGCACAAGCGGAGGCGCAGAATCCGGCTATTATATATTGGATGATATATTGGCTATTATATATGCTGCAAGGGCAAGCTCAGGTACTTATTGATAGTGGTGGTAATAGATTTTGAAGTAAAACTTCTTTAGGCGCGACACGGGTGTAAAAAGTTCTTTAGGCGCGACACGGCCGCAGTGTTAGAAGTATCGAGGTAAAAGATCGACATTGAGTACTTTGAAAAGTATCTAATCAAAATATCGATGCCAAAAAAATATCGTGGCGAAAGTATCTTTATTACGCAAAATACTAATATATTGAAATTGATGAATATTATTATTTGAAATAATTATACTTCGATTGTTGAATATGTTTTTATAAAACATTTTGGTACTTTAAAAAGGCGTTTCAGAGTAATAAATAAACATCTTTATTTATTAGTGTGGTCATATCCATTTTGGGTTTTTGAGCAATAAATTCTGAGACTAATGACCCTTCGGGATCATTTTTTGACACTTCTCTGAACAAAATCGAATTTTGAGTACTTTTCATAAAAATCAAACATAAGTGCAAGAAAGATGTAAAACTAATTAAATATTTTATCACAATATTAGAATGAATTCTATTGCTTGTAATCTGATGTGTTAAATCAGAATCATTTTCAATATTGTAAAATTTTAACAGTAATTTTTCAATACTAATTTCAAATTCTATAATTTTTCAAAAAAAAGACAAGTTATAATAGTTGATTATTTTTGATTAAAACAATATAATAGTCTGATACTATATTCAAAAAGCAATACTTTTTAAGTATTTTTAAGCACAATCATATTTTTAATATTTTTCAGTGCAAACAATTGCCACAAGAACCAAATTAATTTATTATTTTCTAAAAGTTTTTTGCCCACTATACTAAAGAAAGAATTCTTAAGTTTTGTTGTCATTCATTCAGAAAAGGTCAGTTGTAATCCGATTCCTAAAATATGTTCATAATGTGCACAAACTGAAAACGAGACATTTTAAGATTCACGTAAGTATAACAAAGAAAATATTGCTCTTCTGTTCTTTTTTAAATTGTTTATTTAATTTTTAATTTACAAGTACTTTACTTCAACTTACAATTCACATACTTTTAGAAAGAAAAATAATAACGCATTGAAATCGATGAGTATTATTATTTGAAATAATTATATTTCGATTTTTTTTTTACGGAAAATACTAATATATTGAAATTGATGAATATTATTATTTGAAATAATTATACTTCGATTCTTTTTTACGCAAAATACTAATATATCGAAATTGATGAATATTATTATTTGAAATAATTATATTTCGATTCTTTTTTACGCAAAATACTAATATATTGAAATTGATGAATATTATTATTTGAAATAATTATATTTCGATTCTTTTTTACGCAAAATACTAATATATTGAAATTGATGAATATTATTATTTGAAATAATCATACTTCGATTGTTGAATATGTTTTTATAAAACATTTTATTACTTTAAAAAGGCGTTTCATTTTACAAAAGAGTAATAAATAAACATCTTTATTTATTAGTGTGGTCATATCCATTTTGGGTTTTTGAGCAATAAATTCTGAGACTAATGACCCTTCGGGATCATTTTTTGACACTTCTCTGAACAATTATGACCACCTAGAGAGACTATGCATTGCATTCGGCAAAATGGTTGGTTTTCGTAGTTGGTCGATAAGTGGGGTTCATAGATTACGCTGTCGATTCTTTTTGAGTACTATCGACGTAAAAGATCGATATTGGCAAATGTATCGAGCTAAAAAATCGATACCAAAAGTACTCACTATCGACCGCGAAGTATCGATATTTACTGAGTACCCGATATTTCGTTCTAACACTAGACACGGGTGTAAATCCGTACAAATGCAACGAAAACGCCAACGTGAAGTTGAAGACTACGACGCTAGTTAGCGCAGCTATCGCAATTATTCGATCTAGTCTGCGAGCAAAACAAAAAATACATCAAATGTCAAATCATATGTCAAAAACAAAACAAAATGTGTCGACTTTCACTTGAGTTTTGTATTTAGCTCGTAGTCTCTAAACATTTTTTGAAGTAAAACTTCTTTAGGCGCGACATGGGTTAGCAGTATAATTCGTGAGTTAATAAAAATGTCAGGATCGGAAGAATATTTTATCCCGTCCCCCATAAATAATTGTAGTGCAAATGATCGCAAATAAATAATGAAACTAAGGAAAAATCTGCGCTGCGTAAGAAATGATAGCTTTGGCTATGTATGTTTTGTGTGTGAACGACTTTGGCTTCAAAGTGACTTAGAAATATCAAATGATGCTCACAAACAAATTCTTAATAATGTTTTTTGAATATTGATTCAAATAATCAGGTTGGATGTCAAACTTGTCGAAAGATTTACACTTTACACTTTTGTAAGTTTAACGGGTTTATATTTCCATCTATACCAAATTATCTACCTAAACTAGATACTGTAACTGAAAGGTTAATTTCACCTAGGTTGTGTTTCATGCAAATTAGACGATTGCGACATGCAAATGGACAATTTGGAATGTTTGGCCAAATTATAAATGTGCCTGTCGATATTAATAATATGGTTAATTTATTACTTCGTAATATTGATGATGATCATTGCATTAACGTCCACATAAAAAAGCAAATGATTCATAGATCAAGGTATGTGCAGGGCTTGATAAATAAAACAAATATAAAAGTATGGCTTCAATTTGTTAGGAAAGACGGATATTACAGCTGTTCAAGGAATGAGATTATATCGTTAGCGAAAGAGTAAAAAAATACAAACAGTGAATGAATGTATGTTAATTTTAATTACATGAAGTTCTTCAAACACAATTGTTACAGGATGAGTTAATTAGCAAAAACAATATTTGTTTAGGCGTTGTTTAACATAATCCACTGTGTGAATGAATATTATAGAATTTATTAATCAGCAATTACTTTAAAACGATCATGTCATATTTCAAGTACGACTTTGATTACATTATTGTTCACAATCATAAATATATAATTTATAATTTATCAATATAATAAATGTGTGCATCACGAGTGTTACCATATTACTAATACATTATTCAAAATTTTTATATGATGTATTTATTTTTACTCAACTTAAATTTGCTACTTTATACAGTAGCAAATAAGTTTTACTTCAATCGCGTGTGATCCTTACGCGCTCTCTTTTTTTTTCAACAGTTAATTACAAGAAAACGGCTCGGTAGATTTTCACCTAAAATTAATCAGTACCATTCAGAACTAATATCTTTCGAACAGTTTTTAATTTTTTAAAATCGGTTCAGTAGGATGAGCTTAAATGTGGACGAAAAGTTTAACACTTTTTTTCAAATTGCAAAGAAACTGTTTGACAGATCGTCACACAAAACTGACAAACGTTAGTCCTCACCGAAATACATCAAATAGCTTTTAAATTTCTAAAATCGGCTCAGGCGTTTTCGAGAAAACGTCGATTTACGGCAAAAAATCTGTTCACATACACGCACACACACACATACACACACACACACATACTTTTTCCAAATTTGGTCTCATTCAATTCAGAATGGCTTGAAACGTCGAGAAAACATAAAATTAGCGAATCGGATTTTTTGATGAAAACATAAACTTCTCCTTCGGGAAGTTAAAAATGACTCTACTGACTAGAAAAATTATAAATAAAATAGAAAAAAGAACTCTACTGACGAGCAAACTGAATTAATAATGAAAACTATCTCTACTGACTTTAAAAATTATAAATAAGATTGAGAAAAGAACTCTACTGACGAGCAAACTGAATTAACAGGAAAAAATAACTCTACTGAATAGAAATATTATAAATAACATAGAGAAAAGAACTCCACTGACGAGCAAACTGATATATTTATCTATTTTTACATTTATCACATAGAAACTTTTTGAATCAGAGATATGGACTGGCAAATTGATATTTAGATTTACTATATTTAGAATATGACTCTGTACGAAAAGGTACTCTACTGACGAGCAAACTGGGTCACGAATTGTTGAAGAAACTGATGATGCAAAATATGAAAATATAAACTAATAAAATTAGCATATAAGTTGATATGCTCTATACGGATCAGACACATGGACTGTACATAAAGAAACTCTACTGACGAGCAATACGACTATCGACTTACAAAAGTAGGAAAGTCAGATACATTAAAATCAAAGACGAATTCTTACGGTTTTGAGAAAAAGAACTCTACTGACGTGCTAATTGTAAAGTTAATTTTCAAACATCTAAAAAAATTTTCTGATAAATTTAACATCTGAAAGAATCTCTCAGAAAGATCTTTCAATAAGAATTTTTGGAATAAATCTGTTACCGAACTACTCCAAAATGATCGGGAGGTCTAGACGCGTAAAGATATTCAAAACATTTTTATTTATTCCATCTCAACTCACGAGTGACCTGACATACGAGTGGTTAGTTGCCTCGACATACGAGCAAAATTTGTATATATCTTGTGCATTATGAATATTATTCGTGACATGCAGCATCCTTGCCGCACTCCTGTATACTGATTTATTCGAACTTTATCCTCATACCAATAACCCTGAAAATAAGACTGAATCGATTTTTATTAAACTTAAATATTATTATCATTAATATATTTAAATGTCAAATTGTATCCACACACACATCATTTTTTTCTAAGGTATGCCAAAATATTCAGAAACATCCAAAACGTTAAAATATGCAAAAATTTTCATTTTTGATTTCAAAGAGTCTAAAGAAGTTTTACTTCAAAATTTCCGATTCCATCTTTTATGGCATGTGGGGTATCTTTTGAAAGGTCATTTTCAGTAGAATCCGAATACTTAAATTAACTATTCTGTTTATCCACTTTTAATGAATTTATAGTTTACGAGTTTAAAGAAGTTTTACTTCAAAATTTCCGATTCCATCTTTTATGGCATGTGGGGTATCATTTGAAAGGTAATTTTTAGTAGAATCCGAATACTAAAATTAACTATGTGGTTTTTCACTTTTAATGAATTTGTAGTATATGAGTTTAAAGAAGTTTTACTTCAAAAATTTTGATTGTATCTTTTATGGCATGTGGGGTATCATTTGAAAGGTCATTTTCAGTAGAATCCGAATACTGAAATTAACTATGTGGTTTATCCACTTTTAATGAATTTGTAGTTTACGAGTTTAAAGAAGTTTTACTTCAAAATTTTCGATTGTATCTTTTATGGCATGTGGGGTATCATTTGAAAAGTCATTTTTAATAGAATCCGAATACTAAAATTAACTATGTGGTTTTTTCACTTTTAATGAATTTGTAGTATATGAGTTTAAAGAAGTTTTACTTCAAAAATTTTGATTGTATCTTTTATGGCATGTGGGGTATCATTTGAAAGGTAATTTTTAGTAGAATCCGAATACTGAAATTAACTATGAGGTTTTTTCACTTTTAGTAAATTTGTAGTATACGAGCTTGAAGAAGTTTTACTTCAATAAAATATAGATTGTATCTTTATTGCATGTGGGGTATCATTTGAAAGGTCATTTTTAATAGAATCCGAATACTTAAATAAGTTTTCAAATTTGCAAAAAGTTTCATTTTCGATTTCAAAGAGTCTAAAAAAGTTTTACTTCAAAAATTTTCGATTACATCTTTTATTGCATGTGGGGTATCATTTGAAAGGTCTTTTTGAATAGAATATGAAGACCGAAATTAATTCCAAATGTAACACTATTGTAACTTCTTCGAGCGAAAAGTTAATCATCTGTTTGTTTCGAAATAGAAAAAAAGTATATCGAACAATATCTGTAACGGTGTAACATTACATCTTTTGTTATGTTACGATTCAATTATTTCTTTAACAATAATATCAATGTTATTGTTATAAAATTATTCGGATTATTTCACGACGATACAATAGCTTCATTATTCAAATTTCATTTTCTATAAGAAATTTTAACAATAAGTCTGTGACATCTTCTGTTTTTTATATAATTATTGGTTGTGCAAGAGTACAAAATAATAAATTGAACACAACTCTATATGTTAATAAAAATATTTATTATATAAATTTAAACATTATATTATACATTACAAATTAATAAATAAATATTTATACTACTCGATACGAATATAAAATGAGAAGGAAACTGGGCTGGGAACGAATGTTTGATATTGAGTAAAATAAAGGAAAAACTTGGAAGGAAAACCATGGAATAAATCTAAAAACATGGACCTGCCTTTGGCAAAAATTTGATTAAGAATTAAATAAATCTTTATAAGCAACTAAAATTAGGCTAACTGGATCAGGAACAAAAACAAGGGGAAAAAAATATCAGGAATAAAAAATTAACAAAAGTAGATCAGGAATAAAAAGTTGGATAAGTAGATCAGATATATAAAATCAGGATTTAAAAAAAAAGGACACTTGTGGATTAGGAATTGCAAGTTCGGAAAAATAGATCAGAAATAAAAAGTTTGGAAAATTATCATGAACAAAGTATTAGGACAACTAAATCAGGAACAAAAAATTAGGACGACTTGGTCAAAAAGAAACTGATCTTGTCCCAATATTTTGCTTCTGATCTAATTGTCCTAATTGTTTCCAGTCTAATTGATTTAGTTTTTCCCAATTTATTGCTCTAATTGTTCCAAATATTATTCTTAATTTAGTTAATTTGTTCCTTATCGGTTTTTTTTGTATTAGAGACATCTGGAAAATTAGGGACAACTGAATCAGAAATACAAAATTGGTATAACTTGGTCAGGAACAAAAATATTTGGTGAACTAGATCAGGAGCAAAAATTAGCAGAAATAAATCAGGAACGTAAAATTAGGACAAATAGATCAGGATAAAAGAAAAAACAGGGCTTTATAAACAAATGGTTAGGATAACTAGGTCAGGAATAAAAAATCAGGGCGACTTGGTCAGAAAAAACTGATTTTGTTGTCCTAATATTCTGTTCCTGATTGTAATTGTCCTAATTTGTATTTCCTGATTACAAGATTAGTATTTTCTCATTTCTGAACAATTCGACTTAAATTTTTTTCTGATAAGGTTGTCCTATTATTAATAATAAATAAGGACATCTGCACTATAGAAAAACAACTTGAATAACCAAGGAATAAAATAAGGAAAACTGAACCAGGACTTAAAATTAGTATCAGCGAATAAATTGAACAACTTGGTCAGTAGCAAATAATTGTAAACAATTACAATCAAAAATTTGAAATAAGACAACTAGATCAGGAACAAAAATAATAGAACAACAAGATTAGTATTTTCTTATTTCTGACCAAGCCGACTTAAATTTATTTTTTTGATAAGGTTGTCCTAATATTTTGTTTCTGACTGCAATTATCCTAAATTTTTGTTCCTGATCAAGTTGTCCTAATTTGCATTTCCTGATCCATTTGTCCTAATTTTATTCACAAAAAGTTGCCAAAAATTTAATCAGGACAACTGTACTATAGAAAAACAACTTGAATAACCAAGGAATAAAATTAGGAAAACTGAACCAGGACTAAAAATTGGTATCAGGGAAAAAATTGAACAATTAATAATTGTAAACAAGAACAATTAAAAATTTAAAATAACACAACTAGATCAGGAAAAAAACTTGGTCAGGATGAAAAAATTAAGACAATTTAAATAAAAACAATAAATTGGAACAACTGGATCAGAAATACTAAATAATAATTAATTGTAAGCAAAGAAAAAAATAGTGCAACTAGATCAGGAGCAGAAGATAAAATCAGCTTGGTAAGGACTAAAAAATACAATAACAAAATCAGGATTAAAAAATTTGGACAAGAAAATTTTGGCCATGAATAAAAAAATAATGCAACTGGATCAGTAACACAAAACTAACGTAAATACATCAAGAATAATTTTTTAAACAATTACAATTACGGGAAAAAATGGGACAACTAGATCAGAGGCAAAAAAAAGGACACTTTAGTCAGGATCAATAAATAAGGACAACCAGGTCAGCAAAAACAAATTATGACAACTATACCATTAATAAATTCATGTATCCTTTATCCCAAAGGGTCACAAACAGTCCCCCGCACAGCATCCTTAACATCAGCCCTCAAAACCCTAAAGTTCACATCATCATAATTCAATCCCTTATACAAATAATCAGGCAATCGATTGCTCAAAACCCACAAACCCTGCGGAAACTCTTGATCGACCTTCAAATCATTGGGAAAAATCAAGGCAGATGAATTTCCTGCGCCGACCAGGCCTAGATTTTTTCCCACATAGGGCTTCCTCAAATCCCAACAACCTACTGAATCCCTTAAAACCAGGTTGTAGAACATGATGCCATCCCTGTCCACTCCTGAGGCTGAACTTTGGCCCTTGGGGCCACGATATCCGAGGACTTGAAACTGAGAAGCAACCTGGGGGTAGTAAATGATAAGTCGTTACAAATGTTGCAAAATGGAAATACATTTTTACATTGTATATAAATTTTATTTCACTTGAAACTTATATTTTATATTTTTTAAGTTCAAAGTTGGAGTTAATTATTCAACCAGGCTTGAATAGAACTTACATTCGACCGAATATTTAGTTAGTTAAAACCAAAGGAGTCGCCGCCGTTCAGCGAAAGTATTATGTTTCATCTTTTATGGGATAAATAACCCAGTCAAATTAAGATTTCAGTTAGGAATAATTCGCATAGAGCTGAAATTTGGTACAGATGTTAAATAGGCCATTACAAATGATATGTCAAAAGTCCCCATCGATCCGACATCTGCAATTTTTTTTATTCAAGGCCAAAGGTGCAAAATTTTAGTTCTTGCCATTTTCCGTCAAAACCATAAGATATTTTAAAAAAAATTGTTAGATAGGTTTATTAACTATAAAATTTTCTATTAAATTGTTATTATAGATTTTTTTCGTTAGATTCACCGTTTCTGAGATATTGCCGTTAGAAAAGTTGAATAATTCATATTCTTCATAATATGCAGCATTTATACGTCATCAAACGTGTAATATAAGTAAAAACTAGTGGGGTGTATGGCATCGTGCCTTAAGGCAAATTGCTGGAACTTCCCGTACCGTAACGAAATGATCGAGGAATATTAAATGTTTTAAAATAGATTATTGTGAATATTGTAACATTGTCTATTTATATTTATAAGGATTATATAAACTAAATTGTAAAGTTGAAATTATTTGTTTGAAGTATATTAGAACAGAATTAAAATAAAAATTTGAATTATTTTCGATAAACAAAAAACAATTTTTTTGGAAAAAAAAATTTTAAAAAATTTTTTTGAAGCAAAAATTGTTTTTCCAAAATCAATTATTTTTGTTGAAACAAGCAGAAAGTTTTTGGAATCATTCAAATCGGACGCTTATTTCTCTCAAAAACAGCCATTTTTTGCATATTTAGCTCTGTATCTCCGAAATGGTTAGGCCTGCTTTTGCCAAAAGCTAATAACCACTTCTCCCAATCATTACTAATTGAATGTTTTTTAGATCATTCAAATCGGATAGTCCGTTCTCTCAAAAACTCGATTTATATTTTCTGCACTCTTTGCTCTTTATCTCCGTAACTGCTGAACCTGCCTTTGCCAAAAACTAATCAGCGCATCTACCTATCAATAAGAATCGAATGTTTTTTTGAACCATTCAAATCGGTTGATCCGTGCGCCCGAAAACGTGACTGGAAATTTGTATCCATACATACATACATACACGCGCACACACGCACACATTCATTTTTTCTGAGGTATGCCAACATATTCAGAAACCCCTGAAACGTAAAGATATATAAAAGTTTTCATTTTCAAGTTTTTTGCGATTACTATAACTTGCCTTACGGGAAGTTAATAATAACAATTTAATAGAGAATTTTATAATTAGTAAACCTATCTAACATATTTTTTTAAAATTATCGTTCAAATAAGACTATTATTTATAATTATAAAGAACACAATTCTCAACAATATATATATACATATATAATTCAGATAATTTATTTTTCACATAAGCGCGTTTTAATTCATTTTGATTATAAAATTTCTAACACCAGCATTGATAGATGTAATAAAATTGCAGATTTAGGAGTTATATTTGATTCTGGTTTATTTTTCACGGAACATATAACTGATATTTGTAATAGAGCACATAAATCTTTAGGTTTAATACTGAGAAATTGTAAAAAATTCAATTCTAACAATGCACTTCTTTGCCTAATGTACGTTCAAAATTAGAATATGGTTCGATTATTTGGTATCCTCATCAAATCAACAACTCTGATGCGATAGAGAAAATTACTGAAATATCTTTATTATAAAACATATAAAATTTACTCCTTAACACTTTACTGAAAGAATTTGGTATTCCTTCTCTTGCCTCAACGTCGATTTATCTGTACA